TTTTTAGACCTACTGCCATTGTCTCTCAAGCACCCTCATTCATCCCCATTCGTTCAGGAACCAAGTTACATAGGAGGGGTAGGTATGAGTCATAGGTTACACAATGGGGCATGGGGAAAAGATGGAGACTTGACAAACAAAATAGAAACTTGATATGACTTATGCTAACTTACATATGTAGGCCTAAATCATATAGTATCAGTAAAACAGTAATATAGAACACTAAAAATCAATATAAACATAATAATTATACAATATAAAGGAGAAAAAACAAAACAAATACAACTTGCTACCAAAATAAAATGCTGAAGCTTATCCTATGTCTTAGCTCACTTATACTTATCTATAGGGAATAGAGAGGGAGAAAAAAAAGTCAGAAATGGTTAAGGAAGGGGAGGGAATGCATTTTAAAATTAAAAAAAAAAAAAGAAAAACTGGGGGTTTTGCTACATCTTCATGCTACCACTGTTGTCCCCTGCTAGGCCTGGCACCCTGTACAGCTGCAGCCAGATTTGCCTGTGTTACCTGGGTACCCTGTGCCTGGATCAACTGGGAACAGTGATGGAAGGAGGTGCATCTTCACTGTCACACCCATCTGGATCTGCCCCTGACTTAGTTCCCAGGGTCTGACAGGGTCGGGGTGAGGCAGACATGCTGAGGGGCTGCAATTGAGTAGGGAGTGAGCTGTTTGTTATAAAGTTAGCTTTTATTGGACAAGAAGTAGAAGAAAGCATGTTAAGAAAAAGTGCCAACCGAAAGAGGGAAAAAAGGGGGCAGCAGAGTTCTTTCTGTGCACCAGAGTGGCCCATTGCAGCAGTAGGGGTGGCAGCAAGGAATGTTGCTGCATGGGGATTTCTGGAGGATTGACCAGATCAGTGTCACAGAACACTTGGCATCCACACATAACACTAAACCAGTTCACAGTGAATTGGTTAAAAAAAAAATACTTGATTTTCCAGGTACACTTTTGAACCACTCCAGACAGCTTTAAACAATTAACAGGCCTATATGTCTGTCCACTTCAAGCTTAAATCACATTTAAATGATTCTAAGTGTTGTATGTGTTTCCATGCCCAGAGAGCAGAAAGGTCCTTTGTACTCCAAAACACACACATTCCTTCTTTCAGGAAGCTTTCCACACTAGTTTTGGCCCACCAGACAGGATTCCTAGTGTGCATTGTGCTTCTGGCCACTTTTCAGAATTTTCTGTGGTTCTTCAGCATTAACATACAGCTACTAAAGCAGGATACCTCGGACCTGGAAGTGTGTGTGTGAGTGTGAATGTGCACGTTTGCAGAAGAACTGAAGAAATGTTTAAAATAGTGAAAAATTCTTGAGTTGTTTTAATACAGTGGTCCTTGATTATTTCATCTTTCAGAGATGTCCTCAGTATATATCAGAAATACCTAGTTGCCTGACTGGAACTATTAGAATCATTTGAACAGAGGTTGATGAGGTTATTTGGGTAGATGTGATATCTTTTATTAGTCCAACTTAATAGTTAGAAAAATGGTTCTTTGCAAGCTTTCGGGCACAAACACACACAAGCTTTGTGACCCAAAGCTTGCAAAGAACCATTTTCACAACTAAAGATATCACATCTACCCAAAGAACATTGTCTGCCTATGTCCTTAGACCATTGCAGCTACAAGCAACAACCCTTGAACAAGGGTTGAAATTTAAACCTGCAGCTCCAAAATTCCAAAGACAAATTCCCTCAGCAAACTTGCTAGTCATTGACAAGCACCAACCCTTCTCTCACAGTCCATTTCAAAGGCACTCTGGAAATGAATGGAGCTCTGACATGTTCTGTTCTGAAATTTACCTGTTGCTTACTAGCAACTACAGCAGGACTTGTCTCTATATAAACTGAACAATGGAAAGGGTAATTTATTCTGTAATATAGGGATCCTTCAGAATACTTATGTTTATCTTCCTTTTTCCTTCCTTGCTTTGCTCTGCTTTTCAGATTATCAGTTTATTAAATGTCTTCACACCACAGAAATCTCTGGAAGAGTTCCAGGATGTGTAAGTAGTGATTAAATATAACCTTTAGAGGGAGGTGGAGCCTCATATTGCACAATGAATACAACAATCCCAGAACAATAGAAAGGATGACTTCCTTTAACAAGTCATCTTGTGGAGATGAAGAATGAACCTGTGAATGAAGAATGTCTATCTATTTTAAATATAAGATACTGATCACAGTGCTATCTAAGTACAACAAAAAGTGTGTTGCTTATAGTTCTTGAGACTATGATATGTGTGTGCCCACACACGTATGCGACTATGAGCAGCTAAAAGTAACTATGCTCCTTGCCTTTGTGTTATTGGTTTGCTTAAAGAATTATTGTTATATAATTCCCTGAGGTATGTGGGGTTTAGTAATGCAGTAATTCACTCTGAAAGAATTTCCTTGTAAAAGAGGGACTCATGTGAAACATGTCCCCCTTTCATATTTATTTTGTAATAACCTTTGACTGTGTAAAATAATCTGCCTTGGGAAATAGTGCAGGGTACAGAGAATTACTTGCATCTCCACTGAACATTGCCTCTTGCATGGGTACTATTGTGCTTAGCCCTGTCCCGAATGAAATTGCAGACAGTCAGAAGTACTTTTTTTATATCAGCTGAACTCCTTCTGTCCTTCAGTCGTTCCACTTTGTTTCACACTGTAATATCCATGCCCACAAAAGGAAGGGGCATTATAGTATTGTCTGGAGGCAGCCTAGTGCTACCAAGTCTCTGTACATAGAGGTACTGCTTCATTATCTTTATCTTGTGATCCTTGAGTTCTGCACAGAGATTTGGTGAGATAGTCATGTGATTGGTGATGAGCCTGAACTGTGAAGCCGAGACATCAACATGGATCTAGAGTTTTTCTCAAAGCCAGAGCAAGCTCTAATTTGGTGTTCCAGTCATGGTCCAGTTCTCTTTTTGATAGGAATAATCCCATGAAAACTGAGGTGATGGGTAAAATCAACACAGATTACCTCTCCTGGAGGACTGAGTTCATATTCTATTAAGGCTAATACTCATGCTTATTAAGCAAAGGGACAGGGTAATGTTAGATTAGTTAGTTGGCATTAGAACAGCAGATGGCATTAGAACAGCTCGGTGGCACCTTTGATTCAGAGAGGCATAAACTTTCATAGGCAACAGCCTACTTCATCCAACGTGATCAGACCATACAGGAGCACCCAGTCAAACATGCCAAAGATGTGTATCATAGTCATACATTTTTACCTCCTTCCTACTTTTTCCATTCCTCTGTGAACTTTGAGACCAATATTCTGAATGTGCTGTGTTACTGTTTCTCATGGATGGTGACCAAAGACTGATGAAAGATTTGGCTGGTACATACAACCCTTTTATGTTGTGTCAACATGTTTGAAAATAGCATGCTGAATGTTCTGTGTGACTATACAGAACCCACTTGCGTTGATGTAGAAAATGGTAAACTCTAATAATCCATTGATTTTAATGGAACATTAGTAGAATGATGGCTGCATAGCAAGTATAGTAAGAATCAAACCATAGAATGGATTAACTATTCTTTGAGCTCAGCAGCATGGCCAGTTCAGAATCTTCTTTCCCTCAGTGTTGCCAGTGGAAGTAAAAAAGAAATGCATCATGAACAAAGAAAAGTAAGCATTGATTATTACAGAGAAGAAGCTGAAGGTTTTTTTTTCTGCCCAGGCAGTAACTATATGAATTTATTCTCCTCTAGTTACCTTGTAATGGAGCTGATGGATGCCAATTTGTGCCAGGTGATTCAGATGGAACTAGACCATGAGCGAATGTCTTACCTGCTCTACCAAATGCTGTGTGGCATCAAGCACCTTCACTCTGCAGGAATCATACACAGGGTAGGGGGGAGTTCTCTTTGAAGGACAAGATGGTTGTTCATTATTGTCTTGATTTGTACCACCATGAAAAATGTTCAAATCATTTATATTTAGTTCCAATTGTAGCTTAATCCTTTTATTGAGACCCAAGCTTCTCAGTTTAAACATTGAGACTTCCTGGTTAATAGCCTATGTTTGGGAAGTTAACTGTGTGATTGGAAGCTAGGGACAACTTAATCATCAAACAGAAAGTAATGGGTCATAAGCAGTATAAACAAGAACATTAATGATTATCTTTGGAATAGGTGGAGATGACTGTTGTTTCTCCTGAAACTCCAGCTGTCTGTGACAGTTGGGACAGTTTAAATGGAAACAAACCTTATCATATTAAAATATTCTAAATAAATGGTGCTCAAACTATATTCCAATGATCACTTGGTAGAGGTCCAGGGGGAGCAGCTGGTCACATGGATTTGGCTGTTTTTATTGTCTTCATGCCTTAAAACAAACTAAACTTATGTTCTGTGTATCCCTAATATAATTTTTTCATGTGAGCAATCACTGTGGTTGCCACATAGGTAATATTTTATTACAAATGAGAAGGGAGGTGGTTCATGTCACTGCTCTTAGTATAGTAAATGATCCATGCAAGTGTGGACAGGAGAAGTAGTCCGGCTGATCCTGAATGAGTGAAAAATTTCCAAGAGACAATCTCTCTTAAGTTGTTTACAATAGTGTGAAAATAGCCTGGGAACCCCTCCTAAAAAATATCAAGCAAGTTTTATGGTTTATGAAGAGGACCCAGTCAGCCTGATGGACTAGATGTTACAGTACACAAAGACCTTCTTCTTCTATGGAAGCGTGTGCTTTAATGTAATATTACATTAGATGTAATATGTTTGAGCGTCATAGTATAATAGTTTTCAAGATAAAGAAATAGGTCAGGTTCTTTCTGCAAATAAAATATTGAAATGGCTCCACATCCATGGTTAGTGATGGGACCAAGTAGGCACTGTCCCTTTCAGATATTCAAGTGGAAACAAAATATTTCTGTTCTCATTCTGTGAGATTTTAAATCTAATGATTTTACACCCAAGTATTTCTGTCATCCATGTAAAGGAATCATAAAAGAGCAACTGTCCCCTTGGGCTCTATTTGTTTACCAGTATGACACACATTTCAATACAGGCACCAAAACAACAGTGTATTGAATACCATTGCTGAAAAGTGCCTTCTGTTAATAGTTAGTGTTTCAGAGCAATAAAGAAGTGTTTGGACAACCTCCTAAAATTATCCAAGTCATCACTGCTTTTATAAATTGCCTTCATAAATGGGAGATGTCTCATTTCATGTATGTCTTTTGCAGGATTTAAAACCAAGTAATATTGTGGTAAAGTCCGACTGCACATTGAAGATTCTGGACTTTGGATTGGCAAGAACTGCAGGCACCAGTTTCATGATGACTCCTTATGTGGTGACACGTTACTATAGAGCACCAGAGGTCATCTTGGGAATGGGCTACAAGGAGAATGGTAGGGCTGTACTTTGTAAAAAGCACAATCCAGCCCAAAGTTTGCCTTTGCTATATAAGGGGACCTGGAGGGGGAAAACTAACAGAAAAGGACCTCTTGAATTGAAAATCAGGTGATATTAAACATGACTTTCTAATTGTTACATGCTGGAATAACACATGGTACTTGTCATGCAGTTTGCGCTGAATTTAACTGCTTGGAGTGTAACAGAAAACCTGTGATTAGCTAGGACTCCTTTGCCTGACTGACAAATCCTTTTTTGGCCAGGTTTGTAATACAGAGGCAGATGTGGCTAAGAAGCAATATGGAAACTGTTAGGGTTGTCAGAAGAGATATTCCAAATCCAAATCATCTTGCTCACAGAGCTGTCTTAGTGAAGAAAAAGAAGAGATGAGTCAAAGCCAAAACTTGGAATCCTAACAGTCCCTAATGTTTCCAGATGGAGACCTAGATCTGATTCTTATGACTTGTTCCTACTTTTCTCAGAGACTGAATTAAAATCCCAAACTCTTACTTCCTGATCTGTTGGGGTGTTCAAGATCAACATCTGATTATTTAGCTTGAGCCCATATCTAGTGAAGGAGAGGGAGAAAAGAGATGAGAGGGGAAACTGAATACCTTTCTGCTACCTCATTTATATGTAATTTTTCTAGCTGTAGATGGTAGTGCAGTGAAAAATCTAGCAATAATCTGGATATCTCTTTGACCCTAGAGAGGTTCTGGGATGCAGGCAGGGCTAATTTTAATATAGGGGACCCAATGAGAAAGGAAATCATATTTTGTAAAGGAAAAGCTTTATTTCATATAGAGTTCTTGTTCTGTAACAAAACGAGGGATTTCAAGTGCCTGGCTGCTAGTTAGATCAGGACAGAAAATGTAGTAAAGTAAATGAGTAGACATTCATTATGTTACTATTTCTGTTGCCAAAGCACTCATTTCCCTGTTCAATGAAGGGACCTTCTTAACGTCAAATGTAATATGGAAGTGACATGACCTCAAAATGATGTTTTGAGTTGAAGAATTCCATTAGCATGCAATAGTATTTTAAGAAACAGCCAAGTGTATTATGTAGAGGACAATGTGATTTGTTCTTTTGGACTGACTTCTGTATTTAAGCAGTCCTATGGGCACACTCCCATTACACCTTTTAAAATCCACAAGCTCTTTCACTGTAGGAATTACCAGTGGTATGTTGTAAATTCACAGAGCAGTTATTAATTATGAAAAATAAACAGGAATATATATATCCTAGAAATATTGTTCCTACATTTTGATTTGAGTACCTCCAAAAATCTCAGTGTCAATCAGGATCAAGTCATCATTTCCTGATCCTAATATGTTGAGTTCTTTTTAGTCTGAACTGAGTTAATCTGGCTTCATGAAGTTTTTCTCTCAAAGCATTTTACAAGAGATTGATGTTGTGCTTGATACAATAGAGAAAATTCTTTATGCTTTCACACCATTATCACTACAGCCTAAATAGAATTTGGGGCACTTTTACAATCAGTGGATCTGAGGCAATACTATGAATGTATGCAGCACTCAAAGATCCTGAATCTGTGCCCACTGAAGGAAGTGGAAAGACTCCCATTGACTTCCACAGGAAATTAATCAGGTTCAAAATGAACAAAGTACTTTGCTATTTTTAGTGAAGGGGTGGGGTGGGGGGAGGGGAGTTCAACTTAATTCAAGATAGAAAGAAGAAATTTGGAAATGAGGCTCATGCGGTCTGAGGAGTTGGTTTGCAGTGGAGCCCCAGTCCAGCTCCCACAGAAGTCAACAGGAGAGATTATTTACTAGTCCACTGCTCAGGCCTGACTTGCCACATTCCATGAACTCCCCCACTTTTTTTCGCTCTACTTTGTGCATTGACTGTATGAAGATTTGTTCACTGCTTTCATTTTCTCTCTGCACCTGGTTGGCTAAAGATGCATAGTTAACACCAGTTTGCCACCCTCCCCATGGAAGGACCCACAACTGTCATAGAAGAAAACACTGCATCAGGCATGCTCTTGCTGTCCTGTGTCCCCAGTGCCTTTACCCTCCTTTCCCTTACTAGACCATTTCACCTTTGTTTTATTTTACCAACAGAAAAGTTGTTTGTTTGTTTGTTTGTTTTTAAGAGAAAAAGGGAGAAGAAAAACAGGCAAAATTGGTTGTATAGACCAAACAAGAACTCAAATTTGGGGGAAAAATACAGCGGTTTCTTGAAAATAGGTGTTCCTCCTAATCTCTCTCTCTCTCTCTCTCTCGATATATCTGTAGATACAGAGAGAGCTTTTTTTCTTGTAAAACTTCCAAGGAACAACCTAACCAATATGTGCCTGTGCACATGACATCTTGTACCCAAAGGCAGTGTTGGGAAGTATAGAAATTTTCTCAGGACACATTTGCATTCCTTCTGCTCAGCACTCTGTATTGTAGTGCATATATTGTACACAGCATAGGCAGCACTTGTCAGACTTCATGTTCTTTTCCAGCTAGTGTGTAACTGAATGGCATCACCTGTATAAAGGGCAGATCCCGCAGCAGGAGTTCTAAAGACTCTGTGAGCATAGCAGTGAGTATACCTGTTCTCCTTACTCATATGGAACTCCGTGTGTAAGGGCTGCAGGTGTAGATTCTATCCTGCTGGAAAAAGCCTATAAACAACCCAGAGTATCACTACTGTATGATTCCAGATTATTGCTATTCTTTGTAAAGGAAAGAATTTAGACATTTGTTTTTTCACACTTCTCTTTTTCCTAACCACTACACAGTTTTTCCTTGCAAATCAGACACGATTTATGCACTGATTAATTTTTGCTGTTGGGTAAAGTTAGTCTTCCACACAGTCTGAGGGGTGAAAGGAGAAGTAGCTTCCTTTGGAGTTCATTCCTTTCTTTTTCATGTGTTCTAGAACATATAGCACTAAACCCTCTGCTGAATTATCCAGATAATTTTAACTTGGATTAGTCATACCTTCATCCAATTACTTTCCAATAAATGCAGCCTGCTTGTGAGTTCATTTGGTCTAGGTACTTTTTTCATGTTACCTGAATCAGAAAAATGCTGTATTGACAAACCTCTGTTTGGTTTTATGGTGGGGAAAAAATATAATATTTTTTTAGCAAATGTAACTAAACCTCTGACAATGCTGAAATTTTGAATATTCTCCAATACTATTGAGCCTGATGCTGCTTTTATTTATTTACTCATTTATTTTAGCATTCAGCGGGAGGTGGAAAAAATAAAAACTGTACTGTTCTGATCAACCTGCTCTTTTTCCCCTCCTTTAGGAGTGAAGTGTCTTAGTTAACTTTGCTTTTTTTCCCCTCCCCTTCTTCACTTCCCTGTCTCTGCTGTTCTAGTGGATATATGGTCTGTGGGATGCATTATGGGAGAAATGGTTCGCCACAAAATCCTCTTTCCGGGAAGGGACTGTATCCTTGTGCCATTTGCTGCAGCTTCATCCAATTATTTATGCCTTTCCTCCACCCTACCCCCTTTAACATATAATGAACATACCAGGACTTTAATGATAGAAGCAAAAAGTTGACTTGATGAGGTATGAGTAATTCTGAGTGGGACCAACCCATTCATGATACAAAAAAAAAAGAAAAAAGAAAAATAGATGCGCACTGAATTATTTAAATCAATTAATCTTTTATTATTATAATACTTTTACATAAAGGAACCTTTAAAATAGCTATGTGTACCATATTAACAAAGACACTCAAAAATTAATTAAATGATCATGATTTTGCAAGCTTTTCTGACAGAATATTTTTCTTTAAAAGATAATCAATCTTGGCCCATCTTTTCTGTAAATCTGCTTTGATGTTTTGAAATTGGTAACTTCATGATGTTTGTGTTGACATCATAATCTTTTGCTTGCTAATGCATCATTGATTTGGACTCATTTCAATGCTGTATAGGCTCAAAATAGAGTCAATACAACATTTTTTTTTCTGAAAAGTTTTGATTCTCCCAGTTTAAAACAACCACATACCTGGCATGATTTCCAAATTTGGCAGACTGGATTCCCGCTGATTTAAAAACGGACTTTCCTTCACTTGCATGAGGTCTGTGTCATTAATAAAACTGTGGCCCCCTCTATCTTATACTTCTGAGTTCAGTTAATATCCTTTTTATCACCTGAAGTGGTGAAAGTAATACTAGAAAATTAAAGCAAAAGAGGTCTTTACTTAGCTTTTAGCATAACAAAAGCTAAATAATAGGCTCTGCCTGCAGTAGATAGGGAAATAGATTTGTGTGCATCAGAATAAAAATGCAAGAGCATGACATACTTTCTGCTTTCAAAAGAAAAAAGAAAATGATGTTTGGCATATTGGCAGAAGGATGCCCATAAAAATCTGGAATCAGCAGATATATTGTCAGTTGGGATAACAAATCTAGTTATACAGATGTAAGGTCTGAGAACTAATTATTTTTTCTTGGCTTTTCAGTGATCCTTGTCATGTTGAATGAAGTTAGGCCCATGCTGTCCTGATTTTGCAGTGGGATCCATTTGAGAGGCATCCTGTGAGAAACAGTGAGTCTCCACATGGGTCCCAAAGTCTGCTCACATGTATGTAATGGTAGGATTGAGGTCTTTCAAAGGTCATCGACATGTAACATGTTGTTTTTTCCCCAAATACAGACAATAGGGGAAACTACAATATCTCCTACTTGCTAAAGAGAACATGGAAAAGGTTTTAAAAGCTGCCACTGCATTCCAATTGGTGAATGTATTTACTGGAATATCACAAGAAATGGGAAGTTAAAACATGTATAAAGAGACTTTGGATCATTGTTTAAAACGATTATTGGCTAGTCCAAAGTTCTGAACTTAAAAGGTACTGAGCCTCTCTTGTGAAGTGTTGAGTCCCCTCCATGCTTACTGCAGTCAAAGAAACTGTGGGTGAAGCAGTTCCCAAGAGGCATTCAGCAACACACAAGTTTATGCCAGTTGCTCATTATGGACTTTTCCACTATGTTACAGTGAAAAGTCAAGAGTCCAAGAGTTATTGTTGTCAATTTTCACCAAGTTGCAATGCTGTTTTTCCTGTTTCATTTTAAGTAACATGATGCAAAAGTCAACTATATATCAAATTTTCAGGATTCAGTGGCAGTCAATGCAATAATTTATTTTCTTGAAGACAGTGGGTGGTAGATTAGGTTGACCATGGATCTAATAAATCCACCAGAATACAGCACAAATAATTATTATGAAAAATGTAATATCTTGGCAAAATGTAGGTGTCTCTTTGCCAACAGCAAACCAGATAATACAGTCGTGTCCTTCTGCTGCTTTGTAACCACTCATTTAAAATATCTGGAAAAAATGACACCCTCCTCCCCCCCCCCCCAAATCTCTAACCAGGCATGACTACATGAGACAGTGACTGTGCAGTAGCCAAATAAAACTGTGTAGTAGCACATCACAGCATGGATAGTGCTAATACATGTACTAAATAAATGCTTGCTTATACAAGTACTGAATAAATGAGCAGTAGCACCTTTTGTAGATGTGCATAATGAGTATGACTATTGCTTTCATTTGATAATAACAAAATCTTCCTTTTACTGCCTGTTTCTTTTTCAGGGGTAGCCAGAGAGTATTTTCAAAATATCTTTCACTAACCTAATGTTCATTAAACTATGATCTGAAGAGAAAAAAACGGTAAATGAGCATTTGATGACCCTTGCCTCAAAGCCTGATGCAAATTCTGGGGTAGTCCTGTTATTTTAAATCATTGGAAATCTCTTCTTTTGGGTCTTTCAAAACCATTGTTTATTATTCTGGCTTATTTCGGGGTTCTTTTGGCAAGGTGAGTTCGAAAAAAAGAAAAAAACGGACTGTTTAAACTCATTCCCAAATTGGTATTCGTTTGATCAGTCTGGTTAATCAGTCTGACCCCATGCTCAATGAGAAGTTGTCAGTGTCAGTAAGCCTGGATTGAGTGTGGGTATCAGTTATTCCTCTTGCCCCAACCCACTTTCTTGTGATTCTGTGGATGGGCAGGTCCAGTCAACCTTCTAGATACAGTAAGTGATGAAAAAGTACTTATTTGGTAGCAAGTAAATTTCTTTGAAGGTATTTTTCCACATCACTTGGTGCCTTTCTGACCATATTTGTTTTCCCATCTGAAATGGGTATGCCCATATGAAAATAAAAATCCTCATTTTTGTCATAGTTAAAAGAATAGCTATTTCACTCAGTTGAGATAGATGCAGGGGGCTGGCTCAATTTCTAATTTGGAACACAAACCCTCACTTATGAAACTGGCATAATATACCCAGAACATTTGAGAGCTGTTGCTGTGTTTGAAAGAAAGGCAGGTTTTAACAGCTAGTCATTCTGGAGCAAAATAGCCATTGAATTGGGTCACTGCTATCTCTAAATAAAGCTTACTATTGCTTTCGATTAGATTTACATGGAAACTAGGGATCATGAAAGATAGATTGTAAATTAATTCATATTTATTTGTTATAAGGCATTTGTAGGTGACTTAGTGAAAACATCTAAATTCTTACTAGGCTTAGGGGTATAATCTTGTCCCAGTTGCTATGGATTTATGCAAACAACTTGAGTTCATATTAATAGGAATTATGCATTCATTCAGAATGGGAATATATTTTCTAGGTTTTATTAAAAATGTTCTTCAAAAAGAATGTTTAGCTAGTTCTTATGATCGGAAATTAAGACTTAGCAGCAGAAAATTACAACTGTGGGCACAATTTTGAAACTTTCACCTAGTCAGTAAAAATCGTTGAGGGGTTTTTTTCCACAGTAGAATCAGACTTCTAAGTTTGTATCCTTACAGACAAACTAGTTGGTTTTGACAAAAATATTAACCAACATGGCTCCTTTAGCTCCAAGTGTGCTAAGTAAAATATGCACGTAACACCCTTTTATTTTCCTGCTATTGACCTGAAGTGGACATTTCAAACAGTGTAAGAGAGGCCATTTTCCTAAGCTTGTAAATATTAGGGGATTTCATAATAGGAAATCTAGCTTTTGACAGATTTCCAGCCTGATTTATTCAGACATTCTGGTAAACTTCCCTAGGCATATTCTGAGCTGCAGCTTCAGTCTCTCCTCTGCTTTCACACAGACATGCTGCTAATTAAAGTAGTAGGAGTTCATTGGACTAAAGACATAATTAAAAAAAGAGTAAGAAACTTACAGTATTGCCATTACCAGCCTCTTAAAGACTGCCAAATTTAGAGGAGAACCTCTGACACTGGTAGAAGTTTGCCACTAACTTCATGCCTAGCTACATGAACAGCACATTCCCCTGGCAGCTGAGGGGGCATGGCTGTGCTGGCGGTGGCAGGAGCCCAGCAGCGGGGAGCGGGGAGCTCCCGCAGACACCACTGGCACTGTCAGTGGGGGGGGGCAGCGACCATGGGGCAGCAACCACCCCCTGCTGGTGGCGGCCAGGGGCAATCATGGACCTCTCGCAGATGCCACCGGCGGTGCCAATGGCACGGTGGTGAGCAGCAATCACCTGCCGGTGGTGCCTTTTTTAAGGGGTGCACCGCTATGTGTACCCCCTGTGCATCGCCCCCTGCCTAGCTAATATCTCTAAAATCTCATAACATTTTAGTTTAAGGATGTCTTTAAAATCTCATAAGACTTCAGTTTAACCATGGGAAATACACTTTGTGTCTTATTCAGTGGAAGGGAAATGTTAAACACTGTTAACTTAGTTATTTAGAATGAGAGATTTAGTTATTTAAAATGAGAAATTGGTTTACACAGATCAGATTGACTTCCCAGAGACACATACTCAATGCTTCTCCTTTGAAATATTAAGTCCAACTTAGATTGTTTTATTTCCACACTGTAGGAACATTTATTTTCAGTAGTAAGAAGTAATCTAGTTTGTTTCTACCTTGAAAATGGCTCTAATTTAGGGAGAGATGTGCATGTGTATAATACCCAAAGAAGACTGAAGGTGAAATATTATTGTAGTTATGAATTGCGGTGTTGCAGTAATAGCCAAAAGATTTAAGGTATGCTCAGGACAGATTTTATCAGGTGTTGTGAAAAAAGGAAAACAAAGGCTTCTGTTAAAAGCTTAGAATTAAGTGAGAAAGGAACATAAAGGTTACAATAATAGACACGAGTTCAAGAAAACTTCTGATTACATATAGCTATGAAGATATATACCCAGTTTTCTCTTAAAAGTAGCTAGCATCCACAATTGAGATCAGGGCTCTCAACAGAGTTCAGCTCCCATTTTAAATACCTAAGCTAGGTAGTCAGATTTGTCAAAGTTCTCATCACCCTACAGTTTCCATTACAAACAATGAAAGGTAAATGATGATTTCCGAAAATTTGGCACACATTTTTCCTTTGATTTAGGTATTGGATTAATGCTCTTCGTGCTTACTAATACAGGAATATACATATAGAGAAAACTGTATATGT